GGACACAAGCCTGTGCGCGGCCAGTGAGGTGCTGAGAAGCTGCTCGGTTCTTTTCCGTCCTTCAGGGGTGGGTGGATTTCTCCTCCAAGCAGGGCACAGACCCACAGCCGCTTTACGGGTCACATCTAGGGCAGAGGTGCTCCCAGGGACATGCACTGGAATGAACTGGAAGAGCTGTCTGGCCTCGCCCATCAGTGAAGAGCTGCTTCTGGAGCACGTCTTGGTGACCCCCTCCAACAACCGAGGAGGGGAGAACTACATCTCTGTCTGGTGCCTCCCCCAACTCCACTGGAAAAAGAAATCGAGGTCCCAAACCAGGGTCTTCTCAAGAGGGGAAGAAGCCTCCAAAAGGATTTGTGTTATCATGCCACAGCTTTCTGGGAGGGTGACATTTTCCCTGTATCGTTATTCTTTTTAAACTTTCCAGGAAAGCAAGTCCAGTGCCTCAGCCTCTACCTAGCACAAAGATTGATTTCTAGATGATGAGAAAAGATATGCTAACTGTTCCTTTTCTCTGCACAAGGTTGTTTATAAATTTTTTTTTTCCAGTCCTGCAAAGGAGGAGAAGAGGACCAAAAACAGATGACTTCCACATCTATCTGTTTTCTTTCTTGGCTGTCCATTTGAGTAATAGTTTGAAAATTGCCAGTGTTCAATTAGAGTTATCCTTTTCAAACAGATGGCTAATTAAATGTTAATAGCATGAGCAGGCAAAATATTTTAAACACCATAAACCTCACAAATGTTTGAGACATTTTGAATGCTGTAGTCTAGAGGCAAAGTAAAGCCAGAGCAATCTAGATGAGGGGAGGTCATGGCCTGAAGCTTCCCACTTCTCTGACTACTTAATATAGACAAGCCTCATTAAAACATACCGTATTTTGAAATCCTCTTTAAACAATGATGGCCTCAAGGAGAGCAGGTAGCTTTTCAGTTAGTTCTGCTTTTCTTAATTCTCTCCAGCAATCACACTTCAAAAAGAATTAAGTAATTCTGATCATGTAATCTCTGAAAGTCTGAATAAATAAGAGGTAAGAGGGAGATTTTTATTGCACTCAAGCAAAAGAAATGGGCTGTAATGGAAGAAAAGGTAAAGGGAATAATTCCAGTTTAAGTCAAAGGGAGAAGAGTTTGGTCCAGTACCGAATGTCCAGTAAAGCACAGACATTACAAACAGAACGTCCAGGGTCAGAAATAAGACCAAAGCTCTTCAATTTCTCTGCCATCCAATGAATTCCAACATCTTTCTTTCCTTATCAGGAAAAACTTACTTGCGGTAGAGAATGACTTTCACATGCCAGAGTCCACCCTCCATTCAATATCAAGCACCTACAGCAAAGGACTTGAGTAAGTAAATCACAATGGCTGGTTCCTAACCCAGACCTGTAAATATGATTTTCAGAAGCTACAGAGCCACAGGTACAGTATTAAACCGGCAAGGGAGCACTGAAGTACCACCAGTTTGATGAGACAAGAAGTTCCATGCCCTCTCCCTTTCATTATTCCTAATTTTTTTGCCTATTTGCTTACCCAATCACAGTATTCTGAAAGCCAGGACAACCCCATATCATTTTTTGAGACACCTGTGGAGAAAGTTTAAGATCAGATGAGTAAGATGGAAGTGGGCTCAGTTCTGCTTACTCCTGCTCTTCAACAAGTTATACAAGAATGTCAGGCAGCACCTGGCATTGCTCTTTAAACAGCTGGCAGTGCTCTATAAGGGGCCAGTGAAAGGTACTGTGATTAAAGCTACCTTGTCACAATCAAGCGTTTCTCAGTAACTCAGCACACAATAGATGGAGGCTTGATTAAACAGCAGACAAAGAATGAAAAGTCCATCTGGAATCAAGGTGGCTGTAAGCTCTGGGGGTTAAAGGTTCTGTAGAGAACCAAAATAACGTGACACAGTAAACAGACTTGGTTCAATAAGGCTTTTATTATCTTCCTGTGCCCACACACCTTTGCAGAATATACCTAAAGTGCCAACTCAATTTTCCCACTCATCTTGCTTTGGTAGGGAATCAGCGCTGGTCGAACCTCCTCCTTCAGGAACTTTGCCACCTGTTCAAGAAAGACAGGAAAGAGAAAATTAGCAAAATAATTGGTTCCCTTCTCCTCCCCATTCAGACCTGCTTGTCTCACTGGGGTCTCTGTCTAGGTGTCTATCAGACACCTAGCAGTCTGATACGTCCAGGGTCAAAAATGTGAAGCAAGAAATGTGTCTGTCTTAGTAGTATAGGCAGATGTACGTAACGGGCGCTCTCTGGCACACAACAGGATGCAGGATTAAACAACACACTGCATTACAACCTGTAACACCTGTAGCCTCTTTCCACTACTCTACCTGCTGAGGAGCACGCCCAGTGAAGGAGGAGGGATCCAACAGGCTTTCAAGTTGTTTATGGATAGGGCTGAAGTAAGGATCAGCACGGACACGGGCAATGAAGTCATTATCACCCCCTTCCTGTTTCACAACAGCAGCTGCTTGCTGGGAGAGAACACGAATCCTCTCGTGGCAATCCTGTAGGAGCAGGAGGAAGAGGAGGGGAAAAAGAAAAAAGTCATTCCATTGCTCCTGACAGCACACGTTCGTCTTGCTAACTTGTGTGGGAAGGAGAAACATCAAAGCGTATGGCATACAAATGAGACACAGCCTGGACCGCAGTGTCTCATATACCACTACATTAAAACAAATTTTCTTCATCCTGCCACATCTGCCCTTTGAGGTTAAAACAGTCTGAATGACACATATGTTCCCTGTTAAATTATACCACAAACCTATAACACTGGAATCCTTTACACTTCCTCAAACTCCCCAAATACTCTTAGGAGTCACTATAGGATTTTTTTTATTGTTCCATTCCCTACTTGCATGATTTTTCCAAAGACAGACTATAGTAGCTGTTCCCAAAATATTCTATGAACTGTAATAAAGGAATTCCTTATTCACCACTAGTCATCCCTTGTATGGAGCATCTTGGGAGCACAACAATGTAAAACCTCTGCAGGTCTGGAAGAGGGAAAAGAACCTGTCTAACTCTATGAGCAGTAAGACTACATAAACCATGGCTTACGTAAGGCAAGACTGAAGGGGAAAAAAAACTTACAAACAGGAGGGCCATAAGACATTCTCAAACAATCCTCACATGACAATAAGACAGGCAAAACCCTTACAATAAATCTTTGGAAACACTTCCTAATCCCTCGATTTCCTGTGGAATCAATCTGTAAAAACAAGGGAACCCAACTGTAGTCTGGGTCCACCTGCAAAATCAGATGCTGCTACGCTGGCCCTAAAATATAGTCATGTGGTTGCATTTAGAGCAATGTAAGAATCTTCTCCTCACATGTATTATCCTTGATCTATCTTCAGTTAGGAGGAAAGCGATCTCCTGTTCCTTGTTTTCCTCCATCCAAAGGCCATCTTGCTTCAGCACTGACCTACCTCAGGTGAACAGATCTGTCTTCGGGATGTTTAGGGGAGGGAACTGTTCAGTGGTGGGGAAAGGAAGTTGAGCTTCTATGCTATGAGGTGGGAAAGCATAGAAAATGTGCCGTTCTGGAGTTCCCAGCACATGAAAACAGAACATACCAATGTGAATGAGAACAGATTTTATAAGTGTACTAAACTACAGATTTGTAATTAAACAGCACCAGAAAGAAGGTAGGCCAGTAACAAACACAAATGAAATTCACTCTTCAATCTAATCAAATTAGAGAGGATTGTTGAGGAAAGTATGGGACACTTCAGAAAGGGAATCAGCTGAAAAGACAATTAAACTTATCCATGTGATGCGACTCTTAGTAAGTTTACTTGGGAAGCTTACTGACTGATCCAGTGACAAACACCAGAGAACATATGAGGAAAAAAAAAAAGGAAAAAGGATTTTTCCTCACATCACAGGTGAGTTGCCAGAAGTGTTTCACAGAACCAGAACCAGATATGCTACTCAAAGCTTCTAGCAAACCGTTCTTGCAAGTTTAACTTCTGTCCCTGATGTGGAAATAATCATAGAAGGAAAAATTACTATCTGAAGGAAAGTGAAAATAAGCTGTTTTATTAAGATGTAAATTTGATTACCAGTTTTAAACTGACTTGCAAAATTAAATGATAAGGAAATATAATCAAATTGTGTCTGGATTTAATTGCTAAGGAAAACATTTAATTTCAATTTGCTTGAAAACAGAAAACCGAATGAAGGATCATAAATAAAGTTAATAATAAAAAGCACTATACTGAACTAGGGAAAAGTGTCACATGAATGAATGGTTCAGAATGGTCTCACTTACTTTTTTGTTAACAGCACTGATTCATTCTTTTAATTTACAAGGTAGCCAACTGCCAACGTGTTCCATTTAAAGAAACCTGGCCTGTGTTCCAAGTTCCTTCAAACATTTACAAAAGGAAAACGCCTACTAGTATCTAATATAAAAATAGGTATCCCTCTTCTCCAGCACAGACAGCCAGATTAGCTCAAACACACTGTGTTCCTAACAGCAAGTACAGATCTTCACAACTGCTCTCTCCTCAGCACCAGTGTAATATTAGTAACTCTGTGGGAGTAGGTGGAGAGCGAAGAAAGGTGAGATGGTCAGGACAAGAGCCCAGCTACTTTTGTATCTCAGGAGTGAAATGCCAGGCAGTGAAAAAAGGTATTTTTGGCTGCATTTGTACCTGACGATTGCCCCCTGCTTTCACCATCGCCATGATTATATTCTCTGTGGCCATGAATGGCAGCTCCTGCTGGATCCTCCTCTCAATCACCTTAAACAAGACAAAACAAACCAAACAGAAAAAAGAAACAGCATTACAGCAACTCTGTAGACAACTGGGAGTCCCAGTGAAGTTTTCGTCTCCCTTTGAATCTCCAGGACTGGACAATGATGCAAAGATAATTTCTCTTTTTCAACATAGCTATGGAAATCCAGGCATTGAAACTGTTAAAATGTAAAATCTATATCTTGTAAGGGACATTACTGTGGAAAAGATGTACAATGAATCGGTTTTTTTAACCTGTAGGTAAGGTACAGGACTGTATGAGATCTGCCTTGACAGTATCTTTTGGTGCTAAGTTCTACAGATCTGTCATGTAGTTCAGAGAAAAACAGCCTTTTCAATAAATTTTTTATTTACTACCTTTTGGCTTCAACAAGTACCCTTTCATGTCTGTCCTGCAAACAGTGAGAATATAGTGAGAAAGGAGAGCAAAATTCAGGAACTGTTTGAAATAATAGATAAAAATGTAATCCTTTGAGCAGGAGGATTTTTATACACTTTGGCATAGCCACAGCATTATCAACGATGCAACACTGCACACATCATCTCCTGCTTTACCTTTGGATATACCACAAGTCCCTCGGAGATATTCTGCAGTGTACTCAGAATGATGTCAGCTGTGAGGAAAGCCTCAGCAAGACACACGCGCCTATGAAACACACATACCCAGGGCCCCAGTTAGCAATAAAGACCATGTTCCACTCTACCGCAGGTCCCGCGCTTCTGTTTCTGCAAATGTCTCCAGACAGCATTACTGTGGCCCTAAAGGTGGAACTGTTCTCCTTATAGGTGCTTCTTGTTGCTTAAAGTTCACCACCAGGAAAGCTAAAGAATATCTTATAGCAGTAGCTCTCAAACTGGGCAGATGGGGAGGGTTTTGGGTTGGGTTTTTTCATCATCCATCTGTGACAACAGTGCTTGGCCCATTCTAAACTGAGATCTTTTAACATATACTAGTACTTGAACCTTATGTGACACTTAAGGCCCCCAATCCTACCACACTGTCTTCAAAAGGACTTTGCTGTTTTGTAGGTTGACTGCATTTTCTCTGGCTTGCTCTCCTTTCAAAACACTCTAGCTTTAACATGAAAAATCCAAGGCACAGAATTTTTAAATTGGATTATGGACAAGAGATCCATTCTATTAGATGAGCTGAAAATAAAATTTGAAACATTCCAGTACCTCTCTCAAGACTTGGTAACTATTGGGAAATAAACACATCATATCAACCAGTATCCAATTTCTTAAATTTACATTGTTTTCTGCTGCCTATGCAGCTCTTTTCTTAACAAGACTAGCACCTGTGGAGTGAAGTCCTTTTGGGAAAAGATCTTCTATGCTTTCATGAAATTTTATGCAGACATTATGTTTGTAGAGACATTTCAAAAATATAGACAAAAGTGCTGTTGTTCATTGTTCTACAGGCCCCATACCTTAGAAATCTGAATATCTAAAGACTTCTAAGATTCTATGAGATCAAATTCTGCAACAGAAGACTATTTTGAAACTAAAACATTTCAAAGGTAAATATGAGCTATATGCAAATTTAGTACTAACTGGAAGATGAAACCATTGAATTTAACTGCTATAATTTACTTGATAAAATTATAGATAACTTTTGCTCACCTCAAAATAGTCATAGTGAAGAATCAGAAAGCAAAGCAGTTTACTGAGCAACATCCAAAAGACCAGCACAGGCTTTCATGAAACACTACTTAAAAAAATAATGTTTGTGTTCTTTCTTTAGGATCTGAACTACTTCTTGTAAAGAATAACACTTTACAAAGAGATTAAAATAAGTTTTTTTAGATTATTTGGAGGGTTAAGGGATTACAGATAAAATGTTGAATTATTCTCTAAGTAGTAAGGAAGAGTAGGATCAAAAACCACATTCAAAACAGACGGGGAGGAAAATCGGAGAAATGCGAGTACTGTTATACTATGCTGTTGAAAGAGGAAGACTATGAGAGCAATTCATTACCATGGCTTCTGCATCCCTCTCTCTCTCTGCTGGTTTACTTTGCAGAAGATCTTGACATTAAAAAAACCTAACAGTTTTCATCTGATCTTAGAGAGGAAACCAGTTTGTAGTCTCTAGGTTCTATTGAGACTGCTTTTAATCAAGGCGGCAACTTGTGGTTTTAGTTTAAAAATAGAATTTTCTAAATACATCAAAGGACCTTCCTGCACAAGACCTTCTGAAATTGGTGCACTGCATGATCTAAACAAACCTGTTGGCGCTGTCATCCAACGTTCGTTCAAACCACTGCACTGAAGCTGTCTGGAGGGGATCCAGCACCAGAGTCATCAGGTGTCGAGCCAGGCTGCAGCAGCGTTCTGAACGCATTGGATTCCTCTTGTAAGGCATAGCACTTGAACCTGTGAAAGCAGAAAGAGGGATGGAAATAAGAGATAGAAGTAATGCATTCAGGGAGATGAAGGTCCTCCCCCAGCTAAGAAAAATGTGTCAGGAATCATGTTTTTAACTAAAGCCTCAAAAGATTATTTTCTAAGGACAAAATGGAATAAAGAAAATGACACCACCACACTTCCTCTTCAGATTACAAACATCCAAATGTGGGGAGAAAAGAAAGCAAGAAGACATTTTACAGAAGTACCACCACACAGAAAGAACAAATGGACTTCATTTTTAACGCAGTATTTAGCACCACCGCTCCAGGCTACCCATGGCAATTTTAGCAGTGCTCAATACTCCATCTGCTTAATAACATTGTCCTTCAAAGCCAGATACTTCTACTGCTGACTGTTGCTCTGGTGAATGGGTATCAAAACCAACCACAGAATGTAGAATGATTCAAATAACAAATATGACTAAGACTTAATTTGCTGATTTAATCCTACTATTCCAGGTGGCTGTCGGAACTTTCTTCCAGCCACAAGCCAAAACTCTGCATTTTCTTCTTCCCTTCTACCAATGTCAGAATCACACCATTGCTATTGTTCTGGCAAGGGTCCAGCCTAGTTTCATTGCTCCAAATTTATTATAAAGACCAAAAAGCTGGGTTGAACTGAAAAACTACAGCTGCAGTTAGCTTCATGAGGAACAGAAAACATTCAGAACTCTTCAGACCCAAGTCTTCCTCTGTGGGGAATAAACAACTGCTTCTGCTTTCCTCCCAAACCCAGGAAATGCAGGAATACAAATCTGATTTTAATTAATTAATATCCAGAAACTTGTGGGTAAAATTGCCCCCCCCCTTTTTTTTTTCCTTTAAAAAGACACAAAATGCTAACAATGTCAGACCTTAGCTAATTTAAGGCAACTCCTGTCAGTGACATTAAGTTTGCTTAAAAGGCTGCACCAACATAAATGCAAAGATACATACACCAGTCCAGGAAATGTCTCCCATCCCTTACCAATCTGGTCTTTCTCAAAAGGCTCCTCTATTTCCTTCAGGTTGGCCAAAAGACGAATGTCAGTACAAATCTAGAAAAAAGACCAAGAAATTAACAACAAAACCAAACTAACACACACCAATATATATTCCTGTTAGCGCTCTTGAAGAAGTTTTTGCATCTGTGTCTGAGAAGTAAATTGGAGACACACTGAAAAATCTGAACAAAAAAATGACACTGCAATCATACTTCCCAGACTAGAAATCCCAATCAAGAAAGCATAAGGAAAAAAAAGTGTCTACTGTATTAGAATAGGACTCCAAAAAGGGCAAATTTTTGCAGGGAATGGAAGAGATACCAGGATGGAACAGTGAAAACACATAACAAAATTACAGAGTGATTTGCAAACACAGATAATGTGTGCTTGCTGAACTAGCCAGCCCACAAAACTAAACCAGAAGAAAATACCACAGATCCCTTTAGCCCAAGAGGAAGGGAGAGGGAACAGAGATAAATCAATGAAAAGAATCCACATGGACAGAGAGAATAACACCATAATCAGAGAAGCAATTAACTAGGAGCAAAGGGTAAAATTTAAAAACTCGTTCACCACTAGGAAAGACATTTACTCTAAGTGGATCAATTTAGCATAGATTAGACTAATATCGGGTGTGGGATTTGTTAACCCATCTTAGAATCTGCTCAGTAAACGTGTTTTATTTGCCACTGGTGTTAAGACCTTTGAGGTTTGATTGCTAGCTATGTACCCAGTGGTGAATTTACATGATCACAAAGAGAACAGCTGAACAAGGAGCACCAATTATTTTTTCTTCAGAACAGCATTCTGCACCACGAGCACCTTCTCATCAAGATCTGAAATGCTTACCTTTCTTCCCAATGTATACAAATGGGGAGCTCACCTTGTGTATAGATGCCCCAAGACTGGCCAGCACAGACAGGACTCCAATATCCACCTTGCGACTATAGGTCTGCCCTGTGACCATATAAGCCCTAAAAATAAGCAAACAAGTTGAGCACTCCAGATAGATACAACTGTACTGCAAGACTTTGAGCAAGGAGTGACGTGGCTTTTAAAGTGGAGGGTTGTTATTCTGCCCTGACAAGAATGGTTTTGGATTTCAGGCTGTCAATTTTGGGCAGCATGCAGATGGGAGAAAGAAAAGCAGAAGAAAAATGGACAGCCATGCTTTGACAGGAAGACAAGTAGAAGTGTCCTGTTTAGGAGGTGAAGTTTCCTGTGGGAAGCTGCAACTGGGAATGGAAGACGGCAAAGGGAGATAAGTCAACAGCAGCACAGATGTCAGTTTGGCAGCTAGGGGAATCTGGGCCAACATGGACAGCAGGAGTCACACTTTGTTAACACCAAATTTAAGTGACCAAGCATGCTTGCTACATACCGCTTAAATCCTGCCTTTGCAGTCACTAATCTGTCCAGCTCTTCAACCTCAGGGTGAACAAAAAAACCAAAACAAACGGAGCTCAGAATGCTTCCAGAACTCAAGAAAGTCAGCAACAGCAAAAAGGATCCTTCACTTTTCTCAGTTTAGTGTCAATAAATGTTATACTTGCTGGGAAGCACCCCCTCCCCACATTCTGCTCACTTTCACTGCTGGCCTTGTCAGTAGGCCCCAGACGGATTGCACTGCCCTTGTGAGTTTGCAGCCAGAATTTCCATGCTCCCCCAAACAGAACAGTACTCCAGAGGGGAGAACTGTGAAAACTGCAAGCCTATGCTCTGGGCTGTCTGACTTACTTTACTGTGGTCTCCCTCAAAGAGCTGCAAGAAGCTGGCTTGAGTGCCAGTGGTGCCTTTTACACCCCGAAAGCGCAGGTCATCCCGAGCCCGCTCCAGGTTCTGCAGGTCCATGCACAAGTCCTGAATCCACAAGCAGCAGCGTTTCCCCACAGTGGTGAGCTGTGCAGGTCTGAAAACAACCACAGAGAACAGAGTGCAACTCATTGACAATGTGCACAAGAACTCCCAAAGGACCACACTTTGCTGCTGAGTCTCCTGTTAAGACCTCCTTGTGGTTGGTCTCTCTGACTCCTTTGAGCAAAAATTAAAAAGATCTGGCTCATGCAGCAACATATACAACAACACATATACATCACCAGGAAATGGTGCTGAAGGCATGATCATTCTTTTCAGGCATTAGATGTAATTGCACCAAGAGAAAACAGTAACTGTAGTGTCTGTATGTCCTACGGGATTAGGAAATAAGGGAGAACGGGCATCTGAAGGCGTTCCACCACTCCTGCTTTTAAGCTTCTCGAACAGCAGTGACGGGAGGCCGACCA